TTGAATTTGAGACAGTAAACCTAACATTTGTCTCATTAGTGTCAGTAATTGTGCGGCAAATTTAAGACATTTCCGTGAAGGACTTCACTTTGCAAGTTTGCCACGCTTTGAAATGAGTTTCAAGAACCCTGAGGAAGAACCCACTGTGGAGTCCAAGCAATGGGACAACTACAGTAGTATTTACAAGTTAATACTGCAAGTAGCTGACACGTGCATATGTGCATGTACATGGCATACCCTTTGTGAAATATTTTTAATTTAGCACATTTGCCATAGCATTTATATAAATGCTGATGGTTATCATCTTGCAAGTTGGCATTTTGAGAAGAAAGGAGCCTAACATAGACCTGTTCTGCTTTGAATGAGGCAATTTATACTTGTTAGAATTTAGAGTAATGGATGTGTGCAATGCGTTTTTCCACAGCAGAATAGAACTGTAAATGAATGTAAAAATTATGTGTCAGAGGAAGGTAGACTGCCAGTATGATGTTTATATATATATATATATATATATACACACAGATAGATACTGGAGATTGCATTTGACCATAGATGTGTTATGTATTCTTAGTATCAGTATGTGACTCTGGCAAGTGAGACATTGTTTGAAATTGTTGTGAAGAATGTATACAGAATAAAAGCAAAGTTAACATTAAAAAAATGTCTCTGATATGTATTCAGAGGCTTTACTTATTTGCTCATCAGTGTTACTAAAATGCAAACTTCATTTCTTTAATATATGCCTGAGGATAATTTCTCATTGTATTCACAGAAGAATGCAAGACTCAAAGTAATGTAAATGTGAATATTATCATGATTAATTTTCTACAGCTTCAATTGTACAGAAATAAATAAAATATTTGCACTCATTGTTAAGTAATTATTTAGTAATGTTATATTAAGTGTATTCTAGCTGTTAGCTCTTAAACAGAATAATGCACTATAAAATCATTCACAATTTTCAGATGGATCTATTTTTGTCTTTAAGTGGTTGAATCTCATACTGATTTTCCAAGTGGTTACAGTCTAAAGATATTTTATCATTAAAATCTCAAGTGTCTACCAGTCCTGTCGATGGTGGCCATCCGAGTTGTGACACTGTGAGGACTTTTAGGTGGTTATCAACATTTTGGAGAAACATATTACCAGGGCTGTTTATTTGATTACCATAAGTATAATTTCAGAATCTGCTGTAGGCCTTTTTAATTGTTCAAATTAATTACATCGTCTTAATATTAGTGAATGGCAGTAAAACATAGACATTTCATCCTAGTCATATCTTTAAGTGGCGTTGGACTGAATGAAGCCAACTAAAAGAAAATTACCAAGTATCTTGACTGTGATTGTAATCAACATATTAAATTTGAATTCTCTACATCATTCTGTCGTAACAACAGTCGGTGTACTTTATTCCATTTTTCTGTATAATTGAGATCACGAAGTCAAGTTGAAAGCTGGTTACGTATGGTCATCTTTTCTACGTTTTAGCTGATCGGTGTATATGTGAGCGAAAGACATCACCAGATCATTATACAAGAGCGTACAAGATGGCTGATTGTTGTGATAGTGAGTTTATTTTGAGAGGTTAATGTGACTTCCTTTATTTTAAGTCATGGTGAATTAAGTTTTCAAGTATGAATATGTGATTTATTCGTGGCTTATCACAAACTGTTCACTTCATTCTCATAACAGAACTCTTGAGGTAAGAGAAAATGTGAGAGGAATGTTGGAAAAACTATATCGTATGGTATACAAGGACCTGTTAAATGTGTCAAAGAACTACCATAAAATTTTCTTTTGTGATCCAGATCTGTTCGGAGTGTGTTCAGTGATAATGATGCAGATTGTGATGGTTCCGGAATATGTTACAGTACATATAGTAAGGTTTTAGTTGATTGCATTAAGTAGGTAAAAGGTGTATTAATGATGATGATGATGATAACAGTTGTAAAAATAACCTAAATAACTATAACAATACGGTATGTTTGTACGTTTTTGGTCTTTAGGGGCTTTGAGAATGTGAGCCAGCATGAAGTGACCAGAATTGATTTCATACATTTATTAGGATATTAATTTCATTAAATGCATGGAAAAATTTGAACTGCATCACTTCCAGCCTGCTCCATGTACTTTAGTATCCTTTTACAGCACTTCACTCGCCATACAGATTGTTCATTGTAGTGCCATCAAGCACCTTCAAGAAAAACATTATTTTGAAAGGACATTAAAATTGCCTCCCTTCCTCAATCTCCTATCATGTCATATTAAAGCCATGAAACTGGGGTATACTGTGACAAATGTGAGTTTCCAATTCAGGTGCAAGAACAATAGAGGAAGGGAGGCAATTTTAATGTCCTTCCAGAATCATTTTTTTCTTGAAGGTGGTTGATAGCATCTGTTATAGGCTTCCAGAGAGGTTTAGATAGATCCTGTACTTCCACTTTCTTACCAAGTCCAAAAATACTGACAACTGTTTGCCTTTTTGAATCACATTTTTTAGTCAATATAATATAACACAGGTTGCAGAAGGAGACATTAGAGTATGAGCAACCATGCATGTGTGTGTGGATGGTGGGGATGAGTGGTACATTTAGAGATGCATTGAATTATGTGTGGGTAGCTGCTCCCATTTTTCAGTATCAGGTGAAAAATGTCATTGTGCATTGATTATGCTGTGAAAAATGTTATGTTCTTAAAATGCTCTGTTGGAAATTTAATGACAGTTGTATGGTAATTTCAGAATTGAAGTATAATATAATTAATCTTTTATATCTAATTTTGTGAATGGGCCATCATGAAGTAACACATCAGTACTACAGTTCTCCAAAACCAAAGTAATACAAGGTCTAGTGTTATCTATGCCTAAGCATGACTCCATGAAGATATTGGGGAAGATGAAGTAGAGTTCTGTTCATTTGTAACTTGATACTAGATGGAAGGGTCTGGTCAGATTAATGCTGGAACAGTCTAGCCACAGTGATGCAGAAAACATAACTGTCCCTGTCAGGAATTGAATCCTGGCTGCCCAACCTTTAGACAGTTACTATATTAACTGAGCTATCCCAGCACGTAACATAGAATTATAGCAAGCTAACTTTTGTGTGAAAAATTATTTGGAGTAAATAAACACTCAGATATAAAAATTGTCAGTGGCTGTATCATGTAGCAGTATGACATACCTTCCAAACTGGATATGCATGAGACTTTAAATGACAGGTTTATGTAGTGTAGATCTCTTCCAATAATACAATAATATGCTTGGCCACTTGGTCAAGTTAACTGAGATTGGTGGCAAGATTAGATTTTAAGTGGGAAGTGTAGTATTTATCGAGCCCTTATGACATGTTATATTTTATAGGATAACAATATCTGGAGAGAAAAGGCCAGTCCCAAGTGAAAGTAAGGAGTAGGGTTGTTACTAAATACTTTAAAAGCCACTAATATTAACTGGATTTGATCTAAGCCCCCATTAATGTTACCAGTGACATCTGGATGCAAGAAGTCACACTGGACTATGCTTAAATCTAATCCAGATAATTACAGATCTTCTCTTATACATCTGCATATTAAATTATTAAGCTCTTCTCCTTCATTTCCAGTACCATCTCTATTTTGTGAGAGTTTTGAAGTATGGCTGGTAAGGATGGAGGCGATGAAGTAGTGAAACAAGGTCTGATGGTGAAAAGGTCACAGAATAAAAAGAAATTTACTCCAGTCAACTATAAACAGCGGTGGTTTGTCCTGACTCGAAGTTACCTCATCTACTACGACACAGACGGCGAGGTATGTTTGTGAGCTAGCGTATGTTCTTACACTTGTTATTTAATTTGTCTCTTTTCCTGATGCACAGAGAAGAAAATTTGCTTTGGCTATGGGTTGGAGTATTGGTTCTAGACATTACATATTTTACCTCATCTGCTATTAAAACTTAATACCATTGTACTCCCCCTATTCATTTTCAGTTTGCAAACACCCAGTACATACAAAGTATGCTAAACCGTCTTTTTTAAACTAGCAGTTATCAAGATATAACATTAGGAACAACTTTTAAAATTCATTAAGTGACATATTAAGCATCACACTCTTACATGATGTACTGTATCACCAAACATAGAAAAATTTGGATTTAATTTACACTTATTAGACCTGGCATAAATATATTATAAGGTAAATTTAAAATAACTGAACCTGTCACTAACTGTAACCATGCTATCCGGAGTTCAGTCCTAAATGAATTATTATAAGCTTTATTTATGATAAGACACACACACACACACACACACACACGCATGTGCACATGTGTGTGTGATTTTCCCAGTCAAGTCTCTTTAATATATCTGTGCAGTTTATTATACATATAATCATATCACAGATGAGCGGGGACAAATGGCTTAAGTATGTTGAAGGAACTTAAATGGGATGACACCCAATTTTTGTTGCATTTATAGCTTTAAACAATTGAATGATATTAAATAACATTTGTTTTCCTGCTAATTGATATCATTACAGCAAAAGAATATAAATTGGAATAACACAAATGTTGTAAGGCTGGGTTATTTAATGATGCCATTTCAAGTATAGAGGTATACAGCATTGAATGCTATAAGATGTTTATCATGACAGTGAACTAGGTTGTGGCCTTTTGTAAAGTACTGTGCTAGCATTCAGCTAAAGATACTGAGGAAAATCATAGAAAAACCTAATCAGAATAGCTTATAACTCAGTTGAGATTCGAACCAGATATTCCCAAACATGATTTACTATGATGCTAACCTGTTCTCTGATACAATTAGGAGACTGTCGTTTATATGATAGGCCTGTAATGAATGGCTGTAGGATGTGCTTTTGTCCTTTTAGTGCATCTGTACAAAAGAAATCTACAGTCCTGTAAATGAAGTTATTATTTGGTTGCACTAATACTGAATTGCAATTGTGTTCAACACTTTCTGTTATGACACATGTTTAAGAAACATGATATATTCAGAGTTGACTCTATTTTTGCGTTCTGGTGATTGTTGTTATATTAACAATTTGTTATTGATGACACAGTATTACAAAATGATATGCCAGCTGCACAAAACATGTTGGCAGGTCTTGAGTTGAGAATACCTTCTGTAGACCATCAGGGTGACATTTGGCAATGTCCAGCTTAATTTCAAAGTATTAGATCAGTCATTTTCACAATCCTTTCGAGAAACAAGAATTTTAATGAGTCACAAAACAAATTGGAGTTTTATTAATTAAATTTTGAAAGCTGTAATGTTCCTTGTCATTATGTAACCTGGAGGTTGAGATTGTGTGATGTTGTTTAGTTTCAAAAATCATTTTTGAATATGCTTTTTGTATTTTGGGCTGATACTGTATGGATGAAAAGGGAAAATATTAAAATTGGGCTGTTTATATGTTATGCTGTTGCAGTACAGTATCACGTGAATGCATATCTTCATATTTTTAGAGATAATTGCTACCTTGGTATCTGGTAGTATAAGATAGGAGGTGAAGTCAACAGTAACACCTTGATTTCTTTCTTGCCCCTCCTTTTTTGAAGCTGTGTTGTACAGAATTTCTTTTCCCTTTTATACAATTTTTTTCTCATATACTCTCAGATCTTATGCATTAAAAGCATGATGTTGGGTGCTAATATTTGTCAGCTAGGCTGTCCCCTTTGTGAAGTAGCCATTTTTTGTACAGCACACATGGGTGGACATGCACAATTGGAAATGAAAGGTTAATGCCTGATTAAACATTATTGCTTATATGCAAATAATAGCCTGTAACATGGTACTTACATAAAAATTGTATGTAGTCACTGGAGTTAAAGTAAGGTAGACAGACAGGCTTGTTGGCAGGGTTAAATGAAGTGTGAGTGATAAGCAAGATGACAGTGCTATGATTTAGATGGTATCAATATTTGACCGGATGGGGATAAGTATTCAATTTTTGTGTTTAATTTTTTTTCGTTTTTGATTATATGTTTTATTTCAGTTAGTATACATTTCTAAATTCAGGAATTATAATGGTGACATTTGAATTTCTTATGGCAGCAAACATGAAGGAGACTGTCTTCTAACCTCTGAAACACTGGAAAACTTTGAAGACAGCCATCTTCAAGTATTGTATTGTTTTGTTGTGAATGTATAATTAAATGGCATACTTAGACTATCCAAGAAATTGAGGTAGGCTGTTATTCAGACATGTCTGGTAATAATGCTGTAAACCATGTAAGTTATTGTTGTCACTGAGGAAGTTTGTTTGTGGAATAACTGTGTCTTCTGTCAACAAATTTATTGGACTTGCACGGTCCCTTGTGATTCCCCCTTTCTAGGACGTGAATTCCGAGTGCCTCAGAGTAAGCAAATCCTCTGCAGGGTTGGCTGATTTGTCCTGTCTACACAGTCTGCACATTCTCTTAAGTAGGGTATGAGTCACAAGTGTTCTGTCTTTGGGTTTTCTGTTTTATTTTTGTTTGCATCAGTTCTTAGGTTCAGTAGTGGTAGGTAATGGATTATGGTTGGATGTAATGTACTTGCTTGTTGAATGTGTAGTTCTGGTAATTTGTTGGCGCAGTCTTTCACAGTTTATCTGTGGTTTGTTTATTAGTGGAAGAAATTGCATGAGGAATATGTAGCAAAGCAAACAAAGGTGTCAAATATAAAGTTCAGAGAATTTCTCATTTAATTTGGAAGGTATAATTCTTGCACAATAAATCACTGATTTTTTTCCTTTGCTTGCTACTAGACGTACACTCAACTTAAAATTTGAAAAATTGACTGGCCATTCTGTAGTGATGTTTCATGTAACACCTTGAGTTTTTTTAAATTGTTTCTTTTAGTACAAAAATGGTAACAGATGGCAAAGTGATTTTTATACCTTCAGAGTGAAGAAAGAACAAAATCTTTGTATCTAGTGTAAGTCAACTTGTTTTGTTCATTTTTCTTCTGAGAAGTAGAGTCCTTATAAAATATATAGTCACTAGATATATTCACGTAAGTAGGCACTAAGGTAAATTTAAAGGTAAAGCTATGTGCGTTTGTGGGTACTATGAAAAGGGTAGTCTAACAGTGATATCTTTATTTCAACATACATTTTTTCCAAACTATTCTCTACTTCCTTTGCACCAACTCTCAAAGCAATGATGCCATTCATTTTATGGTATTGCTACAAGTTTCTGTTCGTAAGTTCCTTGGGTGTATGATGCTTGAAAATCAACGACCTTGAAGGCAATAATTCGTTGTTAGAAAAAAATGGGTTGTCCCAGGTCTGTGCTGTACAGGTAAGTTGATTCATTGGAATGTTATGCAGGAAATGTAATGTTTGTTGCATGTGACAAATCACTGCTGTAGTATAATAGCTGTGTTTGTCAGTGTTTTTCTTGATAATTATCAGTCACTTAGGCCAGGCAGATTGTGGTGTAGCATTGTGCAGTTAAACTATGTTGAGTTTCAAGTTTAGTGGCAGCCATTTGAATGTTTGTTGAAAATAAAGAAGCCAGCATTTTCTTTCTGGCATTTCTTGGCCATTTCAGATACATGAGGTGTGTGTAGTTAGTGAAGATAGCTGCTTGGAATTTTGTTTCAGGGTCAGATTCATAGGTCCATGACTCTTAACCCATAACAATGCAAAAAATTGGTTGAAAGTTGTCATTCTCAAGTCATCCAAACATTCTATGGCATCATTCCACCCAAGTGAGTTTTTAGATTTATATCTCACTGATACCAAAATAACTTGACAGATTTTTATTGTGAAATACCGAAGAAACACCTAGTAAACTAAGAAATTATGTTTACTCTGTATCTATTTCTTTCTCTCTCCCCCCCCCCAATCGTCCTTAATTGTGGTTACCAAATGAGTTATGTTTTTCTTAGTCAGTTTTTTATTTGATTGTTGATTCGTTTGAAGTTGCTGGAAAACAGTGGTGCAGTATTGAAGAACTTGAAGGAATTATTCAGCTGGAGCTCATTATTTCACTCATTGCATAATTTTCAATTTTTGCAGTATTATTGTATGAAAACATTTACAAGTTAGGTTTATAATAATTTTATTTCTTTTAATTTCTTTGCAAGTATGGCATTTGTTTAGTGCTTCTATCCTTCAACCTCAACCTCGACCCACGGTCCATACATGTTTTTCCCTCCCTCGACTCAAAAGAAGAAAACACGGGTGACTGAAGGATGGAGTGAGCAATTATTTTAAAGTGGAGTAAGAAAGGCAGTTGGGGAGAGGGTATGAGGGATGTCCAGAGAAGTGAAGCAGATCTATTGATTTTCCTTTGTGTCACTCCCTCACATTTTCTATGTCACGGTTGGTCGACACTGTGCTCATTCCGGTCCTACTTTTTTGGGAGGAGAAATTAATAAATATATACTATAATTAACTCTGTTAAGGAACTGTGTCGAAAGCAGAATATAATTTAATGAAATAAATTTTTAAAAAATACTGGATACAGTACTCATTTGGGTAGGGTAAAGAATGATGACTGTCAAAATGATATCGGTCCATATTTGCTGTATAAGATACAGAATAAATTTACATGGGGAAGGGGGTAGAACATCATTAACATGAATTAGAGTGCAATTAAACCCACAAAAATGTAAATTTTGGCATTGAAGCTACCAAATGTGTACAGATATTAGACATGTGGGAGTTGAAACAAAAAAGTTGGTATGGTATGATCATCGACCATTTCATGAAATAAGGTAACCGAATGAAACGTGGAAATGAATTTATGCATAAAGCCAGGAACGTGGTACATTGTCGTATCTCCGTCTTTGTGGCCTAGCTCTCAGCAACAGATCGTCCACGAATTTTATTTTTTAAGAGTTTCCCATGGTGCGTTTTTGCGCATCGTCGGAGCACGTGATCCAAACACGTGTAATGACCGACTGTGAATAAAATCCGCGGAATATTAAGATTTTTTAGAGCAGGCGTGGCCAAATATATTTATAGGCCGGATGGGTTTTTATTTTGAGGTAACCGTGGGCTGGAGGCCTCACGAGTAAAATTCAGTGCCTGAAGAACTGTTACATAATGCTGTCAGTTATTCGTGTTGGTCATTGTGCACATACGGAGTATCAGAAGACACATCATCATTGTTAATAATCCTAACACGATATCGTGAAGTGACTGGCGCTGTCATGAATATATTTATGTAAATATCTCGAGTGTCTTACGATTGCAGTATATTTACTATATCGTTTATGAGAAAGTAAAAATTACTAAAGGGATGTATAAGATCATCAAAAAAGGCGAACTCCGGATTGAATTTTTTCACGAACCTAAGTTTTCCCGCCCTTACTAGAGGTAGGCTGTACATTTCACTTTCTGTATTACATTAATTTTGCATTTTTTACCGTTCTTGCCCTAGTGGTTCCCAGCCTTTTCTGTTTCACGTACCTTTGAAACAACGCTGTGTTTTCCGAGTGACTACCTTTTCTGTCTCAAATGCACAGTACAAATAATTCCTATGCTCCTAAATCTGATTAATGCTAACACTTTCGAACATCTTTATGTACAATATAAATACGAGCATTAACGCCTTTATGTAGTATTCATGTTGAAGCGACGTCATGATCGTCCCCATTACACAGTCGCATTTAACAGTTTGCACATTTGAAGGCGGCTGCAGCGGTGGGGCGTTTGTTAGCCGTGTTAACACTTTGAAAAATTAAAAATAAAATGTTTTATGTCTTTCATGGTTCAGTGATACACCATACTCTGGAACAGCATAAACGATCAGATAAAGTGCATTGCTAATCTGCTCTGGCCGGTTAGACGTTAGCGTTGTTGCGCTCGCGGCGAGCGTCAAGCCTCGACTAGCTGGTTAGCTTCAGATCCCAAACTTTGGTGGAGTGAATGTCTAACGAGATACAGTGAAGAGTAATTTATGTTTATGCATTGCAATTTCGATAGCGTGGTTAGCATTATAATAATATAGTCGTAGGGAATACATGCAGTACATGAATACGTACACTATTTAAATCCTAGGGTGGTAAACGTTAGTTATCCCAGTTTATAATATTTTTTCTTACAATCATTATGCGCAAAACTCCTATAAGTTCATTAACTTAGTGACGCAAACTTATGGGAATATTAATTGCTACCATTTTTTCTCGTACCTTATTGTTATATTAATCACAAAACAAAAGCAAAATGAGAAAATTTGTTTATTCATTTAGTTTTGCTAAGTTTGAAAGAATGCAACTGGAAAGTATGCGCTGTGTTTGTATCAGACAAGGTAGAAGTGTAGTGTTAAGTACTGTGATGCTTAATATGCAGCGATTATTTTCTTTAGCTGTACTGACATTACAGATTTTGTTTTGTTACAGTTAAGTTCACAGACTATGATAAGAAGATACGAGTTTGCATGATCTTGGCTTGTAGATTATTGACACGAGGTATCAAATTCTGTTTGCCATGACTCCAGCAGCTCTCTCTTGAATTGATTTGTGGTTGTTGGGCTCACAAAGGAATAGTGCCCATTCCACGTTTTCAGTGTTGAGGTTTCCTACGTCATCCGCCCTCGCAGGCTTCTCTTTCACCACACTCCCAAGTTCGGAAATCAGGAAAAATGTGTCAGGGTTGAGTGATTTTATGTCGGTTTTTAGCTGTGGACATTTTTCTAAAAAAAAATGTAGAGGTGCAGTTCAAAGTGATTCTATAGTGTACGAAAATTCATTCATGTCTCACGATGAGGTTCGCATACAGCAAGGGGATTTAAGATAAATACTTTTTTTATTTGCTTCCTTTGACGTTTCGCCATTCAAGTTAATCTCCAAATCTTTGTAATGTAGGAGCTCGAAGTTCTTTGATCATGCCCGAGGGTTCGTTGTGCTCCTTGATTTCACGACACACGGTACACATATCGAGTAGGGTCGTGTAGTGAAGGTAGCCGATTTGTTTCTCGGTCAGGTTACCTCTTGATAAGGTTGAGTTTTATACAGGTGTTTCAAAAATATTTGTACACACAACCACTACATTCGTGAGTATTGTGTATACATCTTTTCAGGACACTGTATTAGTCCTTTGATTATCTCCATGCAAATACCGGCATAATATTCATAGATGAGCCATGGCCGACTTCAAAATTCTTTCTTGTTTACAGCATCAAAGACGATATTTTCATCTCATTTGATAATATAAGTACCTCTGCAGTTGAAACCGCGTCACTGAATAACATACGCACCAATAAGTCTTGCGATTATCTGTAGGAAACCTGGTTGCATCCGTAGTAGGCTTACGTTTTATTCACATTAATACGAGCCCTTCAAACTGAACATGATCGCTTCCTTCCAAATTCATACCAAGTGATGTGTTTTGTAATATCCGTCAGTTCCGTAGGAATTACTTTGCAAGTAGATTGTTTGCATGAGCCTTCATTTCATGTTGTTCCTCGCGTATAAGATAAGAGATCCACGCTCA